TATTATTGATGAGATTTAGAGCAATTCCACAAAGAAGAGGGGGTCAATTTATTTTCCAAAGCACCAGAAGGCAAGACAAGAAACAATGGATGGAAACTAATCAAGGAGAGAAGCAACCTGGAATTAAGGAGAAACTTCCTGAGGACAATTAACCAGTTGAACAGCTTGCCTTCAGAAGTTGTAGGTGCTTCATCACTAGAGGTTTTTAAGAAAAGACTGGACAGCCACCTGTCTGAAATGGTATAGGGTCTCCTGCTTGAGTAGAGGGTTGGACTAGAAAATCTCTAAGATCCCTTCCAGTTCTATTCTGATTGAATGATTTAAATGTTCAGATTAGATTATGGTCACCATATGACCCTAATGATCATTCTTCTGGTTCATGTCCCTTTCCAAGTGAGGGAAGTCTTGTGAGCTGGTTCCTCTGTGGACTGTTATATCAGGTCCTGTCCTTTTACCATTGTTGTTTTGATAATGCAGTAATCAAACCAATGGGGAACAGGTTGTTCTTTCTTCCCAATTCTTCTGAAAATCTATGGAAACTTTCTAGTAAGAACTGCCCATTCAGGCTTAATTTTAAAACAATGTTTCTACCACTCAATTTAAAAATATTTTTTAAAAAATAGGAAGTTTTGCAATTTTGTGGGCAGAGAATGGGAAAAAGGACAAAGGAGAAATAGAAAGGATGTATGCTGAATGTATGTAAATGATTATCACCTTTGACTTAATGGACCATTGTTGAGTCCTCTACAAATACATTTTAAAAAAACCAGCAACTGTTCTTTAGCAGAAAACAGGATAAATTGGCATCCCAGGATCAAATGGCTGCAGGGGGCAACAACCGGTTGCTGGGATCTGATGTGATAAGCTAAGCGCTACAGCCAGTAGGAGCTGGAACTGTACTAGAAAAGAATGAAGTGTTGGAGACCATCTGTTGTAAAGCATATAAAAGCAGCTTAGATAGAAAATAGCAGTTTTGAGTGAAAGTTATAAAACATAGGGTGCATATGCAGCTGTCTGGGAATGTGAGGAGAATATTATCTGCTCTTATATTCAGGAAGTGTGAGTGACCAATATTGCTGTTGGCCAAGCAGAAAATATAGGTATGTCCTTAGAAGGACTTTTCACACTCTTCCATTACTTTTAGTAGACATCATACAAAACAATTTCTCACCCGAACATGGTCCAATACATTAAATTTAGAATATACTAGTTGGTCAGGTTTTAAACAATTTTGGGAACTAGCTGTCCTCCAAGTCAGATGGGACTACAATTCCTTTGCTGACCAGGCCAGCAATTTTAGAAATTGCACTCCCAATACATCCAGAGAGTGGCTAGTTGGAAAAGCTACTGTAAATATTAGAAGTTCAAATACTGCTTGCTCTCTCCAGACAAAAGAAGCAACAAATTATAATGAATGTCAACTTCAAAAGTCTAAGTATGTGGTGTAGAGTGTTATTCTAATTTCAGTTTAGAGTTATGTAAGGTATAGAAGGGATCGACCCTAAGACAAATACACAGGTATGGGGAGATTTAAATGTTTCATATCTCCCCAACATCAGTTACCTGCTTTTACAAAGTATCTATCATATTTCTCATGTACATGCAGTATTTTAAGCAAAAACTATGATGGTATAATGAGATTTTTTTTCTTTTTAACAATAATTTTACAAACCGCTGTGCAAGAGGTTTATGCTCCCGACACTGGTATTGTTTCGCCTTATATTACTGTATAATTATATGTTTATTGTAAATAAATATTATTATAAACAATAATATGCAATGACATAGAGTATTTAATATAATCTGTAATTTAGCCACAAACCACACTCATGAGAGATATTAATTCCCAAAGAATATATTTCCATTCAGAAACTGTTCATTTTGGGGATGATAAATTTCCAAAGATTATGTATGCTGTGCAAATATAATAAATTTCTGTCCTTCTGTATGTAAGATTGTATTTTATTTATAGAAACTACTATATTTCTGAGCAAAAAAGAAAAAAGTAATCTTAGAAATCAACTTTCTCTTTAATGCTCTCACCAATTTGAACAAGTCACAATGACTGATTTGTGAAAACTTAGCGTACGTTTGTTTAAATCTTACCATAGGATTCATCACTGTCTGAAGATTTAATGCAAATCAAAATGTGTTGGTCTAGCAGATATTCTGGATCTGAAATAATTGGAGTTAGCTGCAAAGAAAACTCAAGAATTCAGTAAAACTAGAGAAATATATTTATGAAATCTAATATCAGTAAGCAGTACGGTATGAAGTGTCTACACTTACATTGCTATCTTAAATGCATTGTACATAAATTGAGGTAAATTCTGGATTTCAAGGGATTTTTTTCCTGGTCAAATATGTGCAAAATATGCACCTTTGCTCTTGATTTTTTGTCTTATTTTCTGTTAGTGCGTCATAAATTATATTGGCAGAAGGATATACATATTTGACAACTAATCTTGGATCCTATACGTGAAGGGGTATATTTCTCCAAATTTAGTCAATTGCACTTACTTTATATAGTTTGCCTAAAATAAAAGAATTACTGAATGCTGGGAATTTAGAAGTGTAGGGTATAGCGTGCAGACTTAGTTCATGTCACAGTTAAAAGAGCCTGAGATGGAAATGGGTGTCCATCGCTCAGAACATCTTGTTGAACCAAAGGAGAAGAAACTTATCAGGCTTCTTCCAAATTTTAATGTTGGAATCTAGAATATAATACAAAGGAAGTTAACTAGAGTTTCTAGATTTGCTTGGCAGTGCTTAACTGGAAAGACACCAGCTTGAATTTCAATTCAACATGTTCTTCTAAGCATTTTAATTACCCATGTGTTCATTTAGTCTGAGGATTTGAAGCAAGAGTCCAAAAAAAAAAAAAGCTTTCTGTACTCTATTTTACTTCTTTCCAAACAGATGCCCTTCAGATACAGTCTCAAGGGATAGTGATTCTGGTCTAAAGTATTTAAAGAAGTTCAAACTGGGAAAGCTGGCTTATCTGAAACATGCAATTGTGATTGGTCTAAATGCTATAACAATCATTATCGTCATGGAATGACATTAGCATGCGGTTAAAGACAGAATGGAGTGGGCAAAACGATGCTCCCCCATCACTAAAAGGACCATGATATATTGCACAAACAGTCATGAAAACAGCAGTATGCTGAACCCAACTCTCTCTCCCAGTTTAAATTCATTTTCTGTGTAGCTGGTAAGCCTGTGCTCAAAAAGTGAAGTGTTCTTCAAAGAAGTACCATCTGACAGTCATTATGAAAAACCCTGTTCAAGTATTGAAGGGCAAATGCTTCTGCAGAAGCCAAGCATCTGGCCTCATCTTCAGCCCAAGGCAAAATGACTCCGGAGAGTAATATACGGTAGCTATAGGGCCTAACATTGCCAATGGGAGCTGAACAGATCTCAATCCATATCTACACCAGCAATTATTTGATTAGTAAATTAGTGAATGGCAAAAATTGTGCCATTTTGGTATCAGAATAAGAAGGGAAACTCATCAGAAAAGTCAGAATGACTTTAAGATGGGCTGGGAATGGGACAGAGGTGTGGGGAGAACCAGAAATCATTTTTTAAAAAGCTGACCATATGACAGAAAAAATTGTCATGGTATGTTCGTAGGATGGCAAGTGAGAGAAAGTTATTATTAAAAGAGTCTGACTATGTAGTGTGGATAAAGCAGAAACCTTGGCTCACATCTTTATGTACAGACATCCATAACCCAGAATGGCCTCTCATTATGATGTAAACATTTCAAGATGCTCCAGATAATTTTTATGCAGGCTGATTACTTGCAGATTAAGACTTTAAAATTACATGACAAATAGCAAAAATTCTGTTTGATAGGTTGCTGAGTTTGGTGCTGTCTCATGGAGGAGCAGAAAGGATATGAAGAAGAAAATCAGCACTCTTTCCCCATAATAAGAGAATACTGTTATATTTTATATTGATTTTATATGTTTATGTAACCTGTATATATTTTCTCTTTTATTAAGGACTATCTGAAGGACTACAATGAATCTGATACTGGTCTGAGATGGGAATAAAATCCAGTGCATCATTATTTGTATATGAATTAACCAATTATTATGTAAGCTATATTCAAACAAAACCTATCAACCAACCTTAGGAAGGGCTTCGACAAACTTTACCACCAGTTCCCCTTCATTTCCTTCCTCATTTTCTCCCTCTTGGCTCTTTACAAAGCCTGTAAAAGTGTTAGAAAAGAAATTAGATGCCAGCTGAAAAAGCACAAGCAATAACACAGACATTTGCAAAACTAAAAAAAAAAACCCGTAATAACAAAACTTGGCAGCAAAGGGAAACTGATAATTATTCCTGTTTCTGGACAGCAGAATGGAAAACACTTCTGACTTTCAGTTTATAATTCTAAATGAGTGCTTACAAATTGCATTTGCACATGAACATATTAGTTGTCTCCTTAATATTTTATTCCAGTTAAGAAAATCATTTGGAAGCTCAGTACTTGCATGGACAAGAAGAGAAGGAAAATATGACAAGCCTTCCTACGCCACTCAAAATAGCATAGTTGAAATTCTAATTTAAGATTCTTAACACATGGTTTCCATAGAAATATATGCAAATCTTTGTACAGCCTTTTTTGTATGGAACGTGGTTAACGGAACTATATGAAATATAAATAATGGAAACAGGATAACAGAGATATACATCCCCTCACCCTCCAATGCAGTTTGGCCCTTTGACAAAGCACAACAAAAATAACCCATTCGGGATATATATTGTTTCATACACAAAAAGCTCCGAATTAGGAATCTAGAAATATAATCTTAAGCACAAATTTATATTTATGGAATCATTGCAGATTCTTGTGTGTACATATTAATTCTTGATCTTGCAAAATCACAATTACTTTTAGGCTGCTAATGTATAACATTAAGCTTCAGTCCTTTAATTTGGATTTCAACGACATAAAAGTTACTTATAAACAGTGATTTTTTATAGCCACTGTAGAGTATATGTGATATTATTTATGAACAAATATCAAATAGTAACCATTTAAAATGAATCATTTTTTCTCAAAGCTCAGGCCAGTACACATGGCTTCTTATATGTTACTCTCACAACAGTTCTGCAGATGTTCTAGGACATGTTAATCTGAAGATCTAATGTAAAAACTGGTGGACACAAAGGTTTGGTCAATATATGAATAGGAAAAGGCCTTTTAGAAGGTTTAGGTAATATGGAAGAAAAGTAGGATAAAATAGGTCACAAATACACTCAAAAGCCAGGGACCTGTGACTAGGGTCAACTTTATGCATTTATATCATATATAGCTGAGGTTTGTCCTTGAGAGAAGTTCAACATGAATGATAATTTCTTTGAAAAGAAACTGTATAGGATTGCATCCTCTCTCTCCCCCTCTCCCCCTCTCTCTCTGTGTATATGTGTGTATGCTTGTACATCACAGGTTCAGACGTTTATATCAAATCTTACATTGCTGGATCTGTATTATGAGCAAAGTTGTATTCTAATATCCTTTTGGGGAAAATATTTTAGCATTTGGGTCTGAAAATATAAAAGTGCTTGTAAACAAAAAGCATTTTTATAGAATTTCAGGTGAAAACAAATAAGGATATATTGTTTAAAAAACAATAATGAAGACCAGAGATTTTCTGCAACAAAGATTCTTGCCCTTCAAATGATAATATAAACAAGATACACTGAGAAGCTTTTAAGTAGCTTATTATTTCATACTTAGTATAAATATTCTGTAAAACAGTGAATGGGATATCATCTAGAACAGCCTTATTTCTCCCATTAATCTCTCCAAGCAATTTATAAATAACATAACAACCACATGAAGAACAGCATTTACTTTCTAGGCAGCTGGAGTAAAATTCAATGTAGAATTTAGTCTTTGACTTTGTCTTGAGGACAGCACTGCAATGGAGAAATTCAATCTGTCCCAGAGAGTCTGGAAAAAGAGGGCATATGTTAAGGTTGGCAATAACAGCATTCTGCAAAATTGTTAAAGACATTGGAACAATGGTGTAAAGATTCGCATCTTTACTTAGAAAGGAAAAAAAATGCTCACCATTCTTAGAAACAAACTGAGATGTGACAGCAACTTCAAATGTAGCAAAAACAGGACTATGATCGCTTGTCATAATGTCAGTTGTGCATCCTATGATAGGAAAGACAGTTAAGGGTCTCTATTCTTAACTTTCTAAAGGAGGAAAGAATATGCTAATATTGGCCTAATTGATGCTTAAGAGAACAAAGCTTTTATTTTCAAGTGAAAGAAAGCAGAAAGAACTCAATAGCCAGCACACAACTCCCATGGCATGTCCCGTAGCCACTGGGACTAGGTTACCTGAAAAATAATAATACGAATCCTCCCATGTATTGTCCTTCCTAGAATTCTCCTACTTGCTGTTAAGCGTCAAAGGTACAGCATATGCTCTTTGGCATTATCTTCCTAAAGTTGTCTTTTTTTTGTTCTTTCAGTACTAAAGTATTAAAATATTAAATTAATTTGTCCTCTTTGTACTATTTTTTAAATTTTATATAAGCATTTCATGTTATAGTTCTACTGTTTTAATTGCAACCTTATATATATATATTAATGTGTTATGAAGAGCTGATGAGAAATAACTTATAAACTTCCTAATTTCAGATCTGACCAGGAACCAAAATTCCCAAAGAAATAATTACACACACACATACACACACACACACACAAACACTTAACTGTGTTTTGAATGTAATTTCATTTGACATCGGACCTCAGCTACTTCACAATTTTAACTGAGGAAAACAGAATATCCTAGAAATAATTGCTACAACTGAGAATCTTTTCTGGCTTAGTTTTGGTGGGGAAAGAAAGCATGCAAGGTGTATTTCTCTCACAATTATTCACAGCCCATTCTGTTTCCCCACATATCTTAATTTAAGGAGAAAGCATTTCTCAAAGATAGTATGTCTCTTGTTGAGAACTTGGCAATGAAAGGCAATTCTACAGATTCTGCTCTGAATCATTTCCGCTTAAGCCAGCTTTGCTGCTATTTTCAATCTGTTATCTACCCACCATAAGACTGGCACACCACATGCACCAAGGGATATGATTTCCAGAGTACTCGATCACACCAGGATGGCAAATTGTACTTCATCTGCAAACAAAAGATGATTCAATATCAAGAACACATCACTCTGCCAGGAGGGTGCCAAAAAGCCATTGATTTTATTTTCTTCACTGCAATGTCTATCGAAAGAGAAAATGGTGCTGGCAACAATTATCAATTGAAATGCTACAGTATGCTAGAAGTTATGGCATACCCCTGTGGCTTTCTGCTTGGTGTAGACATAATTCTCCCGGGTGTTTCTTTCAAAGCGATAGGTTGGGGCAAATGTTATTTCTTCCTCCTCTGAAACAGACAGATGGCTGATTATTGTTTTAACTCCGTATCAAAAATCAGTACAGCAACCTCATACAGATCATTCTAATCGTCTCCTATAGCAGTTTTTAGCACATGTTTGGTTATTTGTATGCAGTCTCTCACCATATGGAACCATTTTCTTTATGCCATTGCATGGGGAAGGAGAGAGAACGAGAGAGACAGAAAGGTTGAGTTCATATATCACATAAAACATAATTTGATTTACATTTCTGTAATGACTCATCTAATTTGGTTCAGAAGGGACACTATGGCTTAATATAAATCATAAATCAGTCAGATATATGTAGTAAGTTACATCACACGATGGCATTTTTATATCAAGTAATTACTCTGACAATAATGGATCAATTAGTTCTTCAATTATCTCTCTCTTATCAGCTAATTTTTCAGGATATTTGACTCTAGGTTTAATGAGTGAACCTAGTAACAATCTTACCTAGCTGCAGAAACACCTTCTGATCCTTCTTTTCAATGAGGAGCTGGTCAAAATTAAGCAGTTCTGTATACTGCTGCTGTTTGATTTTCTGAACGATATTTTCTGCTTCCTGAGAAGAGGGGAAGTGTTATAATTAACAATAAACCCATATTTCTTACATGTTTTGTTTAATAAATGCTCAATTATATATAATTAAGTACAAAGTATGTTCGGGGTCCAAACAAAATTTTATATATGATTAACTCTTAACACTTGAATTCTGAAAATGTTTTAGTGCTATTTAATACCATTATTTCTTTCCTTTGAAGGCACTAAACCAATTTATTGTTAAGAAAACATTAGGGCAGAATGAAAGGAAAGGTGTTTGGTTTTTTTTCAAATAACAAAACAAAACTCTATTTCAAAGCATTGTAGCTCTGATCTCTACTGAAGTCCTCTGTATCTGCTTATAACTAAAACCAGAAGACATATGATTTATAGGACAGAGTCCCATGCCATTGCTAAATCAGAGTAAACTCTATTGTACACCAAGGGGAAATACCTGGGAGATTGTGATGCTCAGAAATTCTCCATGATTTAGGGGCAAGGATGGCCATGTCATTAATGGAAACAGCAAAACAGTACAAATCCTCACTGACATGAATATTGTAAGTAGCTCAACAAATAACATTTTTAGTGACTTTCCTTCTGAACAATCTGTCCTGTTTATATTAACCGCTCAAAATCCCAGCAAAGGAAGATGGATTGAGGCTTTTTTTGTCTATGGAATGACTAAATTGCACAGTTGTGGCTATAGTCAACATTTGCTCTCTTCTGTTTTCAATTCACCTTGGGTAAGGGGTGATTAAAGGTCTTCCTTTTTTCATTGTTTCTATCTATTTATGTAATTTCTATCATTTTTATTCTTTTTGCTTTTGTTGTTTCCTTGTTTTTCAATGTGTTTAATAGATTGTAAACTATCCAAGTCACTAGGAATTGGGCAGCATGCACAGTCTAATATTATTAATAATAACAACAGCAGCAGCAGCAGCAGCTTGGGTACAATCTCCTCTTTTGAATTGATAGGATACTGTCCCTGTATGTATCTATACAGTATATCGTTTGAAGTGAACGCCATGTCGGAAGGTAATATACACTTCTTTCTTGAATATGCCCAAACAGAGGCTGGATAACATCTGGATTTCTGCTCTAAGGAACTTTCCCCTGTTTTTACATTTGAAAACGTAGAACATGAAATCACAAGGCCTCATGACTTACATAATATATTTTTTCTTTTCTTTTTACACTTTTAATTCTTATTTTTCTTCTTTATTTTTCTAACATTTTTTTTAATATTCTGTATTTTATCAGGGTTTTTTAATTCAATAGTCATTTTTTTAATAAAAGAAACTGCAAATTAATATAGTGCAAATTTAACTTTTGCTGCAAACCAAAACTGATGTACCCTAACTACTATGCAGGAAAGTTTTAATTTTGCACAAAAAGTTTTTATGTGCAAAATAAGATAGGAATAATTTAGTTACAGGATTTACAATTACAAGCATGCATCCCCATATGATTCATAAGAGTACATTTGTGAACAAGGAAAGTTCTAATTCAAATCCCATTTTGACCATGAACTTTCTTAGTCTCAGATTTTTATTTGCAATATTTGAGAAGTTAATAGAAACTTAATTTGCAGTTCAGCTATATAGTAAGGATTACCAATGTAATGCAAGTGATATAAATGTAAATAAATAGCTTTGCATAAATGCTAAGTATGATCAATTAACATGGAATTAAAATGGTTCTCCCACCATTGGAGATAACTCTAAGCGGTAATTCAGATCTCCCAGCCAGAAGAAATGAGTAAAACGATGAGTGATGTTAAATGGATTCAAATTCTTGTCTCCCAGGGACATAAAGCGAAGAATACTCATGTAGTTCTGATTTCGTCTGATAAAATAAGAAAAGTTTACTCAATATACATTAAATTGTGTTGATTCTTGCCACCACTATCACTACCAAGCAATTTTCTCTAAACTGGTACTCCCTATATCAGGGGTAGGCAACCTTGGCTCTTTTATGACTCGTGGACTTCAATTCCCAGAATTCCTGAGCCAGCCATGCATGGCTGGCTCAGGAATTCTGGGAGTTGAAGTCCACAAGTCATAAAAGAGCCAAGGTTGCCCACCCCTGCCCTATATCTATAATCGTATGGTAGGATTGTTGTCCAACACATCTGGAGAGCATCATATATAGGAAAGCCTGCTAAGGAAAAAACTGCTTTTAATTGAGATAGCATTTAGCATTTCTGTGCTAATTGAACTCAGCATTATTCAATGTACAATTTTCAATAGAGGAAACTGCCACCTTTCTGCAAAAAAAGTTTTTGTTAGTTTTTAATAGCCATCATTTTCCCTGTGAATCACAATGCAGATCAATGGGCTAGTGAGATGTAATACAGTGTAATTAGTCATAGGGTTCATCTTCACACCAGCTATCTATGGCATAAAGACACCCAGCTATGTCCTCATGAAGCAGTCATCCCCAAACCACCATAGAGGCAGCTTAAATTCATCATTAATTGTTCCAGCTGTCTTCTAAAGTAATCTAAACATCATTGTGCTGATATAACTGTGTATGTCATCATTTCCACAATTCAATAAACACCTGAAATACTCTATCTTTACACAATGTACTGAAATTACTGTGTTATTGCTAATTTTCCGTTCTTCCTCCAGGTATAATATGAAAAAACCTCCTTGCAACTCAGCCTAATTAGAAACTATAGGGACTTCCAAATGATCAGCTTTTCCGTCTACTATCCCTTCTTAATCCAGTTAAAAGGCTGATCTACATGGTTTTGCAAATTTATTTGGACATCATAGCATCAAAATGTTATAAACCTGCATAATCAACTGCTGGAGAGAAAGAGGGGAAAATTATGAAATGTGTATCACAATATCATCATGCAAATGCCACCTCTTACTGTATATATTTGAATCAGGTGTCAGGATGGAAGTACATAAAGGTGGTACGAGTTTAATGTCACCACATGTTATTTTGATATCATTGTGGATTACTGTGGAAGCCACTGTAAATACAGACATATCTGGATGTTTGGGAGCACAGAACTCAAAGAGCTGAATACACAATTAGTGCTTACAGACAGATTTAGCCAATCACTCATTGCTTGATACATAGGTAGTCCTCAACTTAGGACCACAATAGAGCCAAGATTTATATTGTTAAGTGAGACATTTGTTAAGTGAATTTTGCCCCATTTTACGACCTTTCTTGCCACAGTTGTTAAATGAATCACTGCAGTTGTTAAGTTAGTGCAGACATGTCAAACTCGTGACGTCATGTGACGTTGCGCAATGTATCGGGATGGTTTTGCCATTGCCAGCAATGGGGTGGGTGCAGCTTCAGGATGACGTGTCCAGCCCGTGAGCCGGCAGTTTGACACCCCTGAGTTAGTGTAATGGTTGTTCAGTAAATCTGGCTTCCCCATTGACTTTGCTTATCAGAAGGTGGCAAAAGGTGATCACAAGACCCCAGGACACTGCAACTGTCATAAATATGAGCCAATTGCCAAGCATCCAGATTTTGATCAAGTGACCACAGGGATGCTGCAACAGTCATGTGAAAAACGGTCATAAGTCACTTTTTTCAGTGCAGTTGTAACTACCATTGTAACAGTCACTAAATCGAGGACTACCTGTAATTTCAAACTCTCCAATAACTGAATTCTTCTCTTGCCACCCCCCCTCCCCAGTTCTTTCAAGTCTGTCCCAATACAAACATGTCACAGACATATACACAAGATATTAAATCGCTAGAATTTCCCCTCTCCAATTTTCTACGTGTTTGTGAAAATTTGATCGCTGTTTTGCAATAAAATAATACATCCTCAAAAGCATTTTGACAAAAAGTCGGTTGTTAAAAAATATACACCAATTGAGAACTCTCAGAACATGATTTCAAATAGAGGAAGAGCAAGTAATGTATGGTAAAATGGGCAAAAATGTTTGTTATAATATTGAAATGGATCAATGGGAGACTTGCTTAAAAAGACAATAATTCATATTGTCTTACCATTTAAAAGAAAACTTTTTTAGAATGATGTTCCATTGATATAGGACACAGCAGAAAATGTCTACGTTGTATAAAGGTATTTATAATCGCTGTTGGTGATGTGAAAAACATGAAGGGACATTTTATCATACACGTAGACTTGTGAAAAAGCAAAAAGATACTGGACACAAATACATATGATGATGCACAGAGTTTTAAAAATGTTAAGTTCCATCTGAATGTTAATTCAGATGGAACTGGAACTTTTCTTATTAGGATTTACGGACACTATGTTTCTAATTGCTGCAAAGGGTGGAAGTCACTTCTTTAAATATCTTTCTTTTTTTTCCTTTTATAATATTTTTCTATTTTTTCTTCTGTTTCTGTGGTTTCTTAAAAAGTTTGTATTTTTTTTCTTTTTACAAGAAAGAGAGAAAACCCTCTGACCCATTTGTCAGTATCATTTGATGAACAGGAGACATATCCTGCTCAACTACCAAAATGGCTCTTTTGTCTAGAAGACCTCCACATTTGAACACAAAAAGGATTGTGTATCCATTTGTCAACTATTCTTCTATACTTCCAAATCTCTAAGTGGTTGAATCAGTAAAATTCGGAATAGAAAATTCTGACTGTAGATCATTCCTTGTGTGAACAAGTAATAAAACATCATGTTACTTCATTCTCTGTGAAAAGGAACAGTAGACAGTTACTTTCGGTCATCAGAGTAGCTATGCTAAAACAAGTTCAAGGATAAATTTCGTTTCTTCCTTTTAAGACAGAACCAGCCCCTAGTGCAGGCCACCCTTTAAGCAATGAACATGCCAAGTGGACAGAAGGAAGGACCTGCAGTTTGTGTTGCCATGGGAATGTGGAAGTGTGAAAGGAAGTTGAAACTGGGCCATAGAGAGGAGGGAACGTATGGTGATTTAACACAGCTCATCTGCTTTGCTTTATATAGGCACATGAGCTGAAATTCTAGATCTAATTCTAGTTCCAGTTCCACAGAGCCAAAGAGTTATAGATGTAACATACAAATCTAAATGATTAAGACATACAATGGTCCTGGAAGAGAAATGTTTCCTGTTGACCTTTAACAAAAGGAAACACAAACAAAGCAAAACAATCACCACTTAATCATCTAGCATTTTCTTTGATAAAGAGACTCTATAATTTCAATGATCTATGTTTTTTCTGGGAATGCTTAGTAACATACTGACTTTCTTAGTCCTGAAAAAGACAGCATAATGGACTGCATACAGATTGCCTATATTAGCCATGATTTGAGAGCTTTATTTACATCTTTATTTTGACTGTGGCTTTTGAACAGTTACTGAATTCAGCGAAGTTAAGAAAAGAAGTGTATTTTATAGTGTTTAACTCTTGTCATATATATCTTTTATATTATTTTATTCTTTTTAACATTATAAACTGCCTAGAATCACTTCTTAGTGAGATGAGCAGCAAACAAATTTAATAAATAATAATAAAAAATCACAGTCTCTGTGGATAAGAAAAAGAAACCTGTTGCAATGCCTTCTGTATGTTCCATATTTAAAGGTGGCTTCTTGAATCTACATATGTAGCACATATTCTAATTTTGTATTATATTAAAAACATACCTTGGAAAGTGCTCTTCAAGGGGAAAAAAGGGAAGAGGAAGAACAATTACACTGTGCTCATGTCCTAATGAGAACAGCACAGTGCCTGGAAGTGATTTTCCTCCTCCATATGTTTGTGTCTTTGCATCTTTTTACTGTTTTGGGTAAAAGTTGCTCTAAACTGTTATTTCTTTCCAAGGGTACTATTTGAATAAAGTTCTGTTTTGAGAAGAAAATAGCAGCATGGTGGTATAATGTAATGCAGCATCTCCTAAAGTCTGCTTCAGATATGTTTCTTTACAAATGCCAGGCTTTGGTCAGCACAGCCTAAGCCAAAGCAACACATTTGGGTCCAGATCAAGAAATCTGACATAATTATGTGCTTTTATGTAGCATGATCCCACATTATTTGTCGCATATTAAAATTGCCTCATTACTGAGGCAGAATAGAGGTTGGTGGCAATAGGGACAAGGCAATTTATGCAGCATATTGTCTATCAACTCATGTATTAGATTACACCTTAACACAGTGATCTTAGTAAGTATAGTAAAGTATATTAAACATGTTCAGTCTTGCAACTGTAGAGAATAAATGTAGGTTTAGATATTGGATTCTAGGAGTTTTCTGACCATGGTTTTCATTTGCAGACTTTTTTTTAACCCATGAGGTAATATTTTCAGTGCTGTGATCTTGGAGAAATAACCTTTGTTGCCTAGTTGTGAAATTTATAGTTGCCTATCCTATGAACCTTGTATGTGATGGGTGAAGGATGTGTCAGTCACATAGCAACGACATCTAACATCACAGCTGAGATGCCTCTAATAACCCAACATGCTCAGATTTCATCAACTTAGTTTTGCCATATTCCCCTTAATCAGTGTTTCTCAACCTTGACAATTTTAAGGCATGTGGACTTCAACTCCCAGAATTCCACAGCCAGCATTGCTGGCTGTGGAATTCTGGGAGTTGAAGTCCACATGCCTTAAAATTGTCAAGGTTGAGAAACACTGCCTTAGATGGTATTTTCCCCCAAAGACATTTTAATAAATCTGTAACCTTGGAATCTCCCTGAGCTTTCTAATGCAAAGATCGTGCTATTTTATTTATCATGTTTCTACACTGCCCATCTCACCTAAGTGGCTCTGAGAGGCTTGACATTATAAGGATATTTATTTAAAAACTGAACATTGTTCAGTATGCCGAATTAATATTTCAAAAAATACTAGGTGCTGAGAAGTAAAAAACAAAACAGGAGAGAACTGTTTCTCAGCACCACCTGTAGCAGAGACGCACAACCAATGACAGGGTGGAGGCAGCCACCACTATAAACCTGATATAAAATTACAATTAAGTATAAGTTTTTATAGGTTTTTGATGACTGCCTCCAAAGCTTTGACTAATTGTGACAGATGGGGGAAGATATTAAACATTTGGCTGCAGATAATCTAATCATTAACGATGTTAGATTTTTATGTAAGATATTACATCCCCATCTACTATTTTTTGTAGTGGGATCCATAGCATGCTGCTCTAAATCCTTCTGTTCTGAGTAAAGGATATTAGTAGCCACTGGGAAAACACAATGATGGATTAGATCTGGATTCTGGGACTCTGATTGTCAGCATATCTATACCACTGATCATATTGGTTAAGGCAACATCTGAAAGATTCCATATTTCTCATGCCTAGAGATTAATATTCTAGTATCTTTTCTGAAAAAATGGCTTCAGCAATTCATCACCGGGAATAAAGAGGAGGGTCCAGTGCCCTGGTCTTCATAGTGATAAACTCCACACTTATAGCTTTTTGAATCTGATTATCCATTTGCACTCAGTGGAAATTCTGTAGTTGCAACTAACTGGTGCCTCAGATGGCCCTTAGGTAGGCAATAATAATGTACCTCTGTTTCTTCTCACTTCCTGAAGTCAAATGGCTGTTCACAAACCCAAAGGAGGTTCCATTAAACATGAATGACACCCCCACAGCTCCTTTGTTGCCTGTTAGAAAAAGAAAACGAAAGAAGAAACAGAACAGTTTTAAAAATAAATTCTTCCTCTTGCTATTTAAGCTAAAACATTTTTTGAGGATGCAGAACTGAGGAACAGAAACCTCCTGAAGGTTTTCTCAAAACTTTTTAAAAAGCAAAAATTGAATTTCTCTTTACCACTCAACAAAACTCCATTAATCTATTAGTGTTTTGAAAAGAGACCAAGAATCCCTTATAATGTTAATTTTAATTGAATACATAGTTCCTGCAAAGTTATTTCTGAAAGT